TCCGAAATCGAAATGCGAACCTTCAAGTTCGAAGTTGTGTTATTTTAGAAAGATAATATTAATAATTGTATATGAATTGCCAAAGAATTAAAAAAGTCGACATAAGTATATAGTTGGACTTTTCTTCCTTTATGCGTTATGATTCGATTATTTATATTAATATTTGTATTATAGGTGCTATAAAAGTTCAAAGGTTTGTTTTTCAAAATTTTTATTATATATTTGGAAAAATTCTGTGCCGCCGTCTTCTGAGCACTCTTACAACCGGTATGTGCATTTGTATACTCGTAGTAGTTTGAGTAAAAAATTTATAGAAAAATTCTATTACCTACACAGTTTAGCTTGAGCAATAAATATTTGATCGCTGTTCAGAAAGAGTTAAGATTTTTGGCAATTTAAGTACTGAGCGGCTATTACTCCTTGCATCACTACCTCGAAAATGTTGGCTCTCTGCAATTTTAACGTAAAACATTTTCATCATCTAACACTTTCCTTCACTCATTGAGCGCATTTCACAGGTATGTGTAGAGACATTTACATTAATTTTTTTTCATCGAAGTAATAATTGCATAATTAGTTAATTGCTTCGTTTTATGGTTAAAAATTCGTTATTGTTAAAAATTAAGTATTAATTTACTGAATTTCTCTAGATTGATTAAGACTGCAACTCTGCTTTTCAGGTATTGGTTGGCTTATTTAGAAATAAGTGAATGTAGTAAAGCTTTTGAAGGATAAAGTGCTGGAAAAGCAGGGTGTAGAGTTGCGCTCTAATTGATTTCATTAAGGTGCTGTCTGAAAGACAGACTAAGAGAAAACCTCATTAAGGCTTCCTAAAGGGCTTCCTTGGAATTTTTTATTTAATTTTTATTACATACTCATATTTTATTAGGCAAATTCATAGATTTAGGTGTTACACTAAGGTTAAGAGATTCATAGAAGATTTTTCTAGAACATATTCCAATCTCAGCGAGATCGTGATTCAATTATAAGTATGTAAGTATTTGTTTATTGTTTGCTATGTAAGTGCCGCAAGCGTCATATCAATTAGCAAACGTGTGTAAACAGGCTGTTTACATTAATTTCAGAAACTGATTAAAGATTAATAATAGAATTATATAGAAATACATTTAACAGTCACCACAAACATTCTTTACAAATATTTATATGTTGGTATGTGTGTATGTAAATTATGCTGGGTAAAAAACATATTTTTTCGTTTCGTAATCTGAAAAATTGATTGATAGAAACCTCTAAGAAAGGCGTAACGGGAAGGTCCTTTGCCTAACGGTTTTTGTTTTTTCTTATTATCAAATAGAAGCATTTATATATATTTCGCTTCCAACTACTAGAAAACATATTTTGTTTTGTGGATATTGTAGGAAATTTAATGTTTTTCAAAAAGGGTCCACAACGATTTTTTCGTAAACCTAACCGTTTAAAGGATATGAAGTTTGACTATTTAAGACAAATTTTATTTCCCTTGAATTTTATAACGCAATGAAACAAAAAATTTTAAATTGCAAAGCTCATAGTCTTGTAGGAAATTTTCTGCTCTATAAAAATGGTCTATATAATTTTCGATTATTTTAAGCTTATACAAGATATTCATCGTCAAACATCAATGCCTATCAAAGAAAAACAAAAAATAAAAATAAAAAAGAGACCATTTGTGTAGAGCAGTAAATTTCCTACAAGACTATGAGCTTTGCAATTTAAAATGATGTTTTTTCAGTGAGTTATAAAATTAAAAAAAAAAAACAAATTTGCCATAAAATAGTCAAATTTCAACCGTTAATATCTTTTAAGCGGTTAGGTTTACGAAAGAACCGTAAGATACCATTTTGTAGAGCATTACATTTTTAACAAAATCTTTAGTTCGAAGCGAGATATGAATATCTGAAAATTAAAAAAAATATAGCTCATACTTGGAGAGCTTTTCTTAGAGCTGTCTATTAAGAGTACGAAGCATTCGTGTTTTTTGAACCACCTTAATGTATATACATATGTTTTTATGTAGGAGTACCTACGTCAGCAGAGTTGTTAGTACTAATGAGCACTTGACCCGGATTATGCATGTGGTATTTGCTTAGAAGTTATTTCAATAAAAAAATTGTTAACAACAAATGTCTCTTACGCACGACAATATTTTATGGAAGAGTAGAGCGGAGGGGTACACAATTGGTTGAAAGAATGGAAACACATTACAATGAGGGTTAAAGGTAATTTAAAGAAATGAATGGTTATGGTATATTAGGTGGAAATACTTTCGTTTATTCGGCTTAAAAAAACCACGATGGAAAGGAAGTAACTATCCATCAATGGTTGCCGCTGCCAAAGCATTTGTCGAGAAGGTTATATATAATATATCTTACCAGAACTCGAAAGGATCATTTTCCATAGAAAAGATCACAATATTGGAGAAAATATACTTAATTTCGGTGGAAGGTCGCGGCTAACGATCTGTACATATACACATGTATGTATTGTAATTCTTGGTAACAAGGATGTACGATATTTTCATAGAGTCACAAGAGTTCAAGTTTTCGATCTCGGGTTATTGATGCCAACTGTTGACGATCCGTCAAGCAGGAAATGACATGGACGCAGAAAACTTAAAGAAATTGAATATTTATAAATTTTTCAATACCATCCTCATGGAGCATTCATTTTGATATGAAATTTATGTAAAAAAGAAATGTTTCAAGCACTCACCGAGCTGTGTCACGCCCCAACTTGAGAAACGTCGCAAATACTGGCGAGCTCGGTAAAAACAACACTGCTGTTTATCAAGGAAATAGAAAATATTTGTAATTATCTTTCCATATACGTAAGACTCTCTCGAAAAAATAATATTTACTAAGATTTCCAAAAATAACTCGTAAACAATTGCAAATACAATAATAAGAAATATATCAATAAGCAAACAGTTAGGTGGGGCCGAGCGCCCCCCAATGAGGAATTAAATAAGTCATTAACTTGCATTTAATTTGTTCTGCGTTCTACGAACCACATATTTGTTATTGTCTCTGCTGAGTCTGAAAGTCCAAGCGGCCATGCGGCAGTTGCAGCGCCAAGTTGTTTACCTCCTGATAAGAGCAATTGTTGCTGTGGAAATTGGCTACGCCAGCACAAGAATCTGTCTCGGGGTGCGATTGACGTCAATCGATTATAATCCTGTTAAAATAATGTAATAGCGATATACGCGCTTACATACATACATATACATATATGTACATGTGTCTAAAAGAAAACACAACTGTCAAGTATTGTAGATCAAGCAAGGTCCTCCTTAGTGGACTTTGCTCTGTTGACTACTTGCCGGAGGCAAACGAGCTTCATAGCGTACGCCACAACTGATAAGACTCATATGTTAGCGGTGTTTAAAGCTGCAAAATGCGCGTAATAAACACGATTATAAACAAATTATTTTGGTATATACCTTTACGAGGGTGCCGCATGTAGAAATCTAGTTTGGAGTTGATTCTGAATGAAGAAAAGTCGTGTAAAATTATGAAAATGAGGAAATTTTTGTGAATTAAGGTTTTTGGCCAGAGAGAGGAGAGAGAGAAAAGAAAAGATTCTCAGCCGAATTGTTAAAGAGAGATGGTGCTATAAGACTATGTGAGGAGAAGTTGAAAAACGAATAAAACAATAAGTAAGTGGTAAATAGGCAGGAGAAGTAAGTGGAGTAGGGTATATTGTATCAGCCGAACAACATGTAGCGGATGATCCAGAAGTCGGCTCTTTCAAACATTCAAGAAAAGCCAACAAAATTTGTCATTAACCGTTAACTGTATAATAGAAGGCTCAGTGCAGCTGTGTAAAATTGTCCCACACCAGTAGTTATCTCTGCTTCCCGTACTATTGCTAGGCAAACATCGGCTAATAGATGATCTTTGTCGTGTCTTCTTAACTTTATTGATAGTTTACACCAAGTTGACAGCTTAAAAAAGGCGGTTTTTGGGAATTAAAAACAACAATACAATTTTTGGATTGTAGTAGCTTGGGATTCAATATCACACTTGTAAGTTTGGGGTACATTAAGTTTGCCACGAAGTTTGTAACACTCAAAATGAAACGTCGCAGACCCTATAAAGTATTAGAATGTATGTACTATATACAAGTACTTATAAATGATTAGTATGATGAGCTGGGTCGATTTAGCCATGTCTCACTTTCTATCCGTCTGTTCGTATATACACGAACTAGTCCCTCAGTTTTTGAAATATCGATCTGAAGTTTTACGAACGCTCTTTTCACCCGAAGAAGCTGCTAAATTTTCGAAATCGCCGATATCGGACCTTTATAGCATTTGCTCGCCTTTCCATATAATCGCTGCCAAACAAACTGAACGATTTAAATCAAGTCCTTATATGGAAAATTTTTGTGAGTTATTTTCACGAAATTCGTTACAGATTATTATCTAAGGCAATCCTGCAATCTTTGAACATATTGTTCAGATCGGATCACTATAGCATATATGTAGCTGTTCTACAAACTGACCGATCAAAATTAAGATTAAATAAAATATCTTTTTATACCCTTTACTGCTATATGAAATACACCTGTGCAGGGTATTACAGCTTCGTTGCAGCCGAAGTAAATGTTTTTTGTTATTTTATTTTTTAATATGCCCTCTTGGCCTATTAAATCTATTTACGCTGAATGTTTAAAGGTAAATCAATATTTTCACTCTTAAACAAGACATACATACATACGTTCACACTTATTTATTTCTTATATTAGTCTATTAAGTATGTAAATATAGGTCTATATACTGCATACATACACTATATGTACCCATGGTACATCTTTCGCGCAATATACTCATAACTTCAATATGTGCATATGTAAGTATGTACATATGTTAATACGAAGTAAATTGACAATTATTGATTTAGTACAAACAAACATACATACATACATATTTCATTATTTTCAATTATTTTTTTTTTCGATTTTTTCATTCGCTCTTCTCGAATGTTCCGATATGAACCAAGTAATTACAAAACAAAATGTGCAAATATATGCGTACTAGTTGTAAACATGCGTAGACCAACAAATACTACATTTCTTTATATGTATTTACATATGCACATATATGTATGTCGGTGGGTATGTAATGTCATGTCCACACCGCTTTACCTTTCATCACTTGTGCCAGCTGACTTTACGAGCAAGAATCAAGATCAGTTGCAAGCGCAACAACTCCAAAAGCTGTAATTACCATGTAAGGCAACAACAACAACAAGGAATATGTATGCATGTCTATGCACACCAGCAAGCATAAATCGCGCATCGGCACAGCAACTCACCGCACCACATCCCCCCAGTCCAGTCAAAGCCGAAGAACTAGCCGAATAAGCGAAAATTTACCACGATTTGTGTGTGCCTCTGGCGCTGAGCGACTTGCTGACTGCTATAGGCTGATGATCGTTTGCGTTCGGCTCGACTTGATTTCGCTGCGGAAGATTAAGCGCGTCACGGTGCACGCAAATATCAATAAAATTGCCGCAACGCAGCTGATACGAGTCAGTAAAGCGGCGTTTTTCAAACCAAATAGATGAGCTTGGCCGAGCTAAAGTGTATGAGAGAAAACGATCGTACATACATAACTACCTACCTACCTACTTATAGGAAAAGTCAAAGTGAATTGAATAAAAAAGTGTATAGCGAAAGTTGAAAGAAAGTATAAGACGAAAGAACCTTAAGACAAGAACAGTCTGAGTGCGGAAAGTGAATTTGCTACGGTAAAATTAAAACAACAAAAAGTGAATAGCGATCATTAAACTCGCAAAAGCGCAAAGTGATCATACTTAATTGCAAAGTGATCAAACTCAATTGAAATTCTAAAGAAATCTTTAATTCTACGTTGTAAAGTAAGAACGAAAATGTAGATGCTAGCTGCTGCATTGAATATCAATTCGTGCGCTTTTTTTGGCAAGTGATTGCTCGCAAAGTAAAAAAGAAAAAACTGTGAAAATTACAACAATATACATAAGAAAACAATAAAAACCGTTAAGGTTGTAAGCACACATTATAAGAATCAATAAGAATTTTTATTGCTGTTGCAATATTTTCTAAGCAACAACAACAAAATGTACATATCGAATTCCACCGGTGGCCTGATGCTACAAACGATGCTCTATTTGGCAAATCAGACCAGTAGAGCAGCTGTAAACACATTGGTTGATCTGCCGCCAGCACAGAAGAGTGGTAAGTGCATGATAATGAATCATATTTGTATATAGTGTGTGTGCATGTGCCACTTGTGGCATGTGGCGCGATTGACGTGTGGCGTGTTGCGTTGAGGAAACATCTCTAAGTGCAATGTAGTGAAAAACTTTGTTTGCTGGGGGACAATATATAATATTAATAAAATAGCATAGCAATGCGACAGCTTTATTTTCTATGTATGCAACTAGTTACAAATTAGTCCGAAAGTAGTACGAAATTATTTTTCTTGCTTAAAATACGTGGAAGTATAAAATTGTAGAGGATTTTTAATTTGCTTTTCCTGAAACTAGTTTATGTATTTTAAGTATTAGCTTAGAAAAAAGCTAAATTAGATATTCCAGTTTCATCGCTAATGATTTTAATGTAAATTAAATTAAAATGTATAGCCGTTTGTCACGCAGGCATAATTTTTTAATTTCGAATGGCGAGAACTAGTTACAACTAGTGCCAAACTGGTTCCGAGTGGGTTTTACTTGCTAGATTTTGTTAAATGTGTCATAAAACGCACTTCAACGTTATTTCTAGCGAAAGTCAGATACATCATAGATTCGTTCTCAGTTCACTTAGACTAATTAATAATCAGAATAATAATTGGAGAATGTTTCATTTTTATTTTTTGCTGCTATTAATTTTAATAAAATACTGAATTTACTTCTAACATTGAAGCTATTTCTTTCATATATGGAAATACCGCAATTCAATTATTAGCATTTTAAAACTCTCTCTGTCTTTCCATTTGCAAATTGTGTCATTTGCTTCGAAAGAAATTTAAGCAACCAATTTTATTGGCTTATTTCTGACTACCCGCCAATTCTATTCAAGTTTTCAACTGGTGACTAGGCGACTGGTCCTGTTGAGTGTTCTTAATTAGTAGTAATGATTAATCAATTTTAAAGCGCTAAAATATATGTTACACCACATATATACTATTATAGTTAATAGCTCTAGGGTTCTGAGAACTATTACATTTTTAATTATTAAACATAAAATTATTATTAAATATCAGCTAAAATACATTTGCGCTTCTCTTATGAATAAACAATTAAAAAAAAGGTTTTTTAGTAAACTTTTTCCAACTAGTCCGAAACTATGCCGCAACTAGACCAAAAGAGTTAGCATTTAAACACACTCTATATACATTTTTAAAATTTTCCCGAAAGTAAATTATAATGACAAGAAAATTATTCTGATGCAACTAGTTCAAAATTACACTAGTAACGTAACTAGTTCGTTTTAACCTACTAAATGCCTACACGCTAAATACTCTGTTACATTACCAATTCCGATACTGCAACATTCAAATTCACGCATTTGCACAAACTTGCCTCAGGCCAAACCCGCTTTTAAGAACCAACCATATTTATGTCAAGTGATTGCATTAGTTACAAGTTAGTCAACTCGGAAATGACCAATTTCGTAAGATGCCTTGGGAAGCGGAATAGTGGAAAAACTAGTCTAAAAATTTCGTCACATATGCAATCAGCGTGTCTAGTGGCCAGTTATCGATTTGGTTCTCTTTAATTTTTTTTTCACAAGTTTCTTGTTACCCACTGCGCGGCCACCCCTCCTTCCGCTGCGATTCCAAGCAGTACTGCACCGCTGGTGATTCTATGGCTGCCTAGCGGCAAATATTTGGTAATATGTAAACTAGTAAATGATCGCTTTCAAACACATGTGTGTATATATTATATGTTTGAATTTACATATATATGTACAAAAGTACATATGTCAATATATTAATATCTGGTTTTCTTAATTTAATTAAATTTTATTTTTTATAGGAATTTGGTAAATTTTTTTTATAATATGGTATAAAAGTCTTGACTTACAAATCAGTTGGACCATTGTTTGTTGGGGTGGACACTTAAGTTCATACATACGTACATACTTAAGCGAGGTCGCGCTGCTCATTCAGCCGCATAAACTTGATTTTTTTATTTACATACATCCATACATAAATATTTAATATACTATATACTTAAATTAGCATATTAAAAATGAGAGTCAAGAAAGATTTTCACTTCAGTGCATCATTTATATGGTATATAAATTTGTATGTATGTATATTCAAAAGTAAATTATTTAAATTGAGATTTTTGGTTACCAAGAAAGGTTTTTTTAGTAAAACAAAGAAGTAATAACATAATATTTCTATGTTAAATTGCTACTCAAAACTCTTAATTACTTTGTACATATCTAATTTTGTATACTTATATATATATGTGTAAATGTCAATATATATTATAAACAATATGTGTTTTAAACAGGGAATGCTCAGAAAACAGTTTTCTATAGAAATTAGTAAAACTATTTTAATAAAAAAAATTATATATTTTCGTTATATATTCCTAAAACACGCATTTAGTTAGAAAAATTATGCAAATTATGCAATTACTTTTAGCATTAAAAAATATCTGGGAAATATTGCACACATAATTCATTTTGCGTGATGAGATTTGAACTTTCATTAATATTGTTGCCATCACCTACAATATCGACTCAATACAAATAATAATAAAATAGTACATAAAAGTAATATAAGAAAACAATAAAATATAAATGTACAAGTATTATATAATATTATAAAGAAAAAAATAATAATAAAAAAATAAATTAATAAAAAAAAGTTACAGTAAATAAATAACAAATGATATATGTTTATAAAAAATGTATACTTGTAAATAATATAATGAAAAAGAAAAACTATAATGAAATAAATTTAAAATAATAATGAAATAAAAAATTATATATATAAAAAATGATATATACATATAAAAAATATATAATATATATAATATATAATATATAATATATATTATAATATCTATAATATAATGAAAAATGCAAAAATAAATAAAATAAAATAAAATAAATAATTAAATCAAAAATTGTAAAATATTTAATATATAAAAATGTTTAAAATATCTAACAATTATAAAAAAAAAAAATGTTCAATAAAAAAACAATTGAAAAAAGTTTGCCAAACTTGAGGAAGTCATTTTGAATCAATTTAATTAAATTCAGCGTTAGTTACTGCACATTTACTCCACAAATCAGCACAGACCTTAGTAGACATTGAAGTTCAAAGAGTGCAAATTATGGCGATAAGCAAATATTGGCGTCATGAAATACTTTTTTTGTTAACATACATATGTACAATATATATTTATATACCATATAGATGTCATTTAGTTCTACAGAAATACTACACGAGCGGCAAAGAGTACAAAAATATTTGAAATGATAAGTAAAATCTAATTACTGCCGAGCACTAAGTGCCGTAATTGACACTATATTTAAGTTATATACAAACATATATATTGTATATGCAAATATAATTATAATCTTACTAGTTTTGCAAATCGCGCTTTTGAAACAGAAAGTGAAGAATGAAATAAAGACATATACAATAAATATATAGAAGTATGTAGTATTATTAAATATTTTTATATGTATATATACATGCATACATATATACGCATACAAAAAAATCATAATTTAATTACAAATTTTTTGCACATTTTTTGCCTCAGCGCTTGACTCTCTCTCCACTTCTCAATAGAACAAAGCTTCATATTTATAATTTCACATGAAAGTAAGCTTTAGGAAAAGTGGCAATAAAAATTGTTGCTTAGCGGCCTTTTTGAAATAAATTCATTACAAAGTACAACAGAGCACTTGACTTGAGAAGTGTGGCAGTCAAAGCAAGCGTGTTTTGTTTATTTATATTAGCTCTGAGCTATTGAGCTGATAAAAGTTTAGGTAAAATAATGATAATGTGAGCTTCGAACTACGCTCTATTCCACGTGAAATGCCCAATTATGTCATAAGCAGTGAATTAAAGAGTAGGGGGTTGTGTATTGTGTCAGTTTCTATATATAACGCTATATGGCAAAATCGAATTATTTTCTCACCTTCAGTGTAATTAGTAATAAGAAGTCGTTAAAACTGTTTGGTTTGCGGCTTAAATTAAAATTTTTTATTACTCTTATTAACTTAATTCTTTTTAAAAAAATTTAACAAGTGGCAACCCTTGTTCGAAAAATTTTAAAACCATAAAATTTTAAAAACTTCAATTTAAAGCCCATATTATTTTTTTTATAATGCATAAAATTTTTTCTTAATGTTTTTTTTTATTACGTTGCCATATTACTGAAATATTTCTAGCAAAAGAATTTTAAAAATGTTGTAGATCCATACAGATGTTGTAAAATTTAATTTATGTTTTTAATTTCAAAATTTTCTGAAACAATTTTTTTTAATCAAAATCTTAATGTGTCCTTATTGGCGCAAAAACACATTAATATTATTATAGACATATATAAGTTAAAGGCAAAGCCACATAGTTCTACCTCTGACTATAATTTTTACCACATATTAACTTCTCTATTTTATTTTCACTTACCTTGCAGACGGTAACGAGGTGAAATGTTATGGTGTTTATGGTTGCTTTCCATTGAATGGACCTTGGACGAGTGAGACGCGTCAGATCAATGTACATCCGCAGAAACCCTCACAAATCGAGCCACATTATACGCTCTATACAAAGCGTAGTTTGGATAAGCCGAAATTTATAGATCTCAACGATCCGGAAGCCGTGGCACAAATGGGTATAAATCCAGCGGGGAAAATATTTCTAGTCTCGCATGGTTACCTAGAGAATGGCAATATCGAGTGGGTAAGTTACAAGCATCACCGGAATATTTTCAAAGTTTTTACTTACTTCTACTAATTCTATCACAGATGAAAGAGTTGGCCAAGACATTGCTGCAAAGCGAGTCAGAGGGTAATGCCGCAGTAATACTCATTGATTGGGGCGGCGGCTCGAATCCACCTTATGTGCAAGCGGTCGCGAATATACGTTTGGTGGGCGCCATCACCGCACATGTCATACACATGTTATATGTAAGTGGCACTACACAACGAATCAAAGTTCCTCACTCATTTGTATCTGTACTTTTTTATCTCTCAGGAGGAGCTACAACTATCCGATCTACGCAACGTGCACATCATCGGTCACTCGCTGGGCTCACACTTGGCTGGCTATGCCGGCTATCACTTGCAGCAAGACTTTGGCTTGAAGCTGGGTCGTATTACTGGGCTGGATCCTGCGGCGCCACTCTTCTCTGAAACTGAGCCCATAGTGCGTTTGGACCGCTCCGACGCCGAGTTCGTTGATGCCATACATACAGACGCGAATCCGTTCATGAAAGGCGGTTTGGGCATATATCAGCGTGTCGGCCATGTTGATTTCTATCCGAATGGTGGTTCCGATAATCCCGGTTGTGATGTGCGTTTGCAGGACTATATGAGGAGTCGCAAGAGTTCCGTTTTCTTGAGCATGCAAGAGTTTCTCAGCTGCAATCACATACGCAGTTATCAATACTTCACGGAGAGCATATCGAACAAGTGTCCATTCATGGGCATCACTTGCGAATCGTACGAGGCCTTTAAGGAGGGGCTGTGCTCGCGATGCGACGAAAATGGACTGGTTTGCATGCGTATGGGCCTACACAGCTACACGGATTACAAAGAGCTGCAAGCGGTGGGCGAGTTACGCGCCAATGACAAGCCGCCAGTGTTGTATCTGACAACAGCCGATAAGAAGCCCTTCTGTCGTAAGTTATCTTTATATGATTTTATTTAGCCAAACCGCTAACTAATCTCCTTTTTTTTTTTTTTGTTTACTGCAGGCATTCACTATAAACTCACAGTGCGCGTGTCGGGTCACGACGAGAGCACCATGCATGGTGGTGAAATCGGCACAATCTCAGTGCGCCTCCACTCGAGCACGCGCAGTAAGAAGCTCACAGATCACATACGCTTCTCCGAGAAGGCCATGTACTTCGAGCCGGGCTTTGAGTATAGCGCTTTGGTGACGGGCAAAGGTGTGCCCGACCCGGCGTCGTATGCCGCTGTGTACTGGGAGTATCAGACAAACTTCTTGAACCCGCTCACATGGCGCATACTCTCAGCGCCACGCATTTACCTCGATTATATAATGATTGAATCGCTGGAATACCCCGACATGCAGCTGAAGCTGTGTCCGCTCAACGAGAGCGCTGTGATATCCGGCACGGAGAATATACTGCAGGAGAAGTACTGCAAGTGATGGATTCCGCAATCACACACTCACTGTAAATATTATCACGTGATAAGCTAATTTGTATGCCGTTAGCTGCATTCCACACACAATTTCACAAATATGCCGAAAATTTAACAAAATGCGACGAACGAGTTCAAGAAGGCGCGCACTATTACTGCCGTTTCCGCGGCAACTGTCAATCGTAACGGAAGTGTCAAAAAGTACCGCTGCGTCGATAGTACAAAAATACGCATACGCAAGGCTCACCGTAGATGTCGCCGGTAGAGATATAGCCAAGTAACAAACCACGCTGAAGGTAGGAACAGTAATTATACTGTTCTCTCTTTAAGAGATCACTTTCAAACTTGAAACCGTTCTCACTTGTTGGGAATACTGAATTTAGCGAATGCACCAACCGTAACGCCACATCACTCATTGTGGAGATTATAAACTACTCTCTTCTTAGTGTAGACTTGCAATTATTACTCTTCTCATTAAGTTGGGAAGTGTTGCGTACATTTTGTGTACGATTTCTTCGTTCTCAGCTAGCATACCTGTAGGAATATTTCGTGCACTCATTTGTAAATACAAACATACATTCATATATACGTAATTAGTTTGAAAATTCATGTGTACATAGATTACCTTATAACAGTAAAATTACCTTACAACAGTATAACTGCTACTACTACTACTACTACATACATACATATGTACATATTTATTGAATAATTTATGTAAACTTATTTTGTACCTAATTTATTTACATATTTATCTATTATAATAAGGTAAAATAATAAAAGTACTAATAAAATATTTAAGATTTATGAATTTGTGCTACTTAAAGTGGAATTTTTGATTTTTGAGAAAGTGTGGTTATGGTAAATCGGTTTAAGGTAGAGTCCGATGTAGTTCAGCACATGAGCTTCAATCTTTCAAAAGATGAATGCCTCATTAAATCAAATATAAAATACTTTCGATATGGCAGCCATAACTAGCTTTAAAAAGGAGCTTCACGGATAGTTTGAGATATTCTGCAGACTATCTATTACACTCAATTTATCAGTAGGGGCATAGTTTATTAATAATTCAACGTTTCAAACAGGGTGAAATTTTCGAAATAACAGCCCTTGATCGGATAAAATACGGATACATTCCGATAACTTAGAACTTGCTGTTGTGGGAATTGGTACACGGATAATTCGAGAGCTCATTAAAGGTCAAAGCAAATATAAAGAAATAATTTAACAAAATAATTCAAAAATATTCATATAATTGCTGGCAACCATAAAAAGTCTATAATTGTCATTGTTCACTTTTTGAAAAATAGTTCTTGAAGGTTATAACAATACATATTAAAAATATTATTGTAAAACTTCGTGAAACGGTTCTTAATAAGTATGATTCGAGAACGATTTATGCTGGAGTCCTGGAGGACCCATGGACAGCAATAAATCTCAGAAGAAATCATTAAAATTTAGCATGTGAAGTGAAGTTCGGAAACAATTACTTCTTGTAACCCAAATCGCAGAAACCACCTCAGGAGTTCATTTCAGGAACTAAGACGACGCTTGTGATATATATGCGTATCATTAGTAAAATGGGTCAGAACTGACTGAACCTATCGATTTTCCTTTCTTGATTGGAAAATTCTTCCAAATAAGATGTAGCCCTTTTAATCTCTAGTTTGTTAAGATTAATCTCGAATTTTTCACTCCTTTTATGATATTAAACTTATAAAATAAAGCTAATTACGCTTTAACTGAGTGAGTTGACGACTGATAAGTCGTTTGATGTCTTCACTAATCTGGACTCCTCTGAGTATTATTGATATTGATTATTTGAAGATAAATAGAACACTTAACATAGTACTTCTTCGATAAAATAAGGAGAATATACAATTGTAGTCAGCTGCTGTAATGACCAACAAAATATTGTGTAAAACCAATAAGAACCTTACGAACACATCCAGTAATCACAAAATATCGTCTATCTATATCATATCTGATAGGGAGGTACTTTACTTAGAATGAATTAATAAGAATTGTGAATAACCTTAAAATAATAATAGATGCTTCGTAGTAGTAAGGGCATGATGAGAAACAACTGTGATTCAATGGAGATATTGAGTCAAGGGTTCGAGTAAATACTTGTAGTCGCCTCACTGTAGAGGATGAATTTGTCAAAAAAAAAATTTCTCATGGAAATGCCGCGACAGTTTCGAAGCGACTTAAAAATAGTCCTTTCAGATTTGTATCGATTCTTCCTTAAGCAATGTTATAGTACCAATAGGGCGATATAACTCAGAAACAAATATATTTTTATACATAGTTGATAAATTTCTCGATTTAGTTTTCGAATGTAACCTCAAACTTAATGTAACAGAAGTTCGAAATTAAATCTTCGTCTTTAGAACACTACTAAATCTGACGGAATATCAAGCTTTTGTTATTTTTATACCTTAAACAGGGTGTAAAAAGTGTTTGCAACACTTAGAAGGAGAAGTTGAAGAACCTATAAAATATATATACAAATGATCAGCGTAACGAGCTAAGTCGATGTAGCTACAATATATTCGTCTGTCCGTCTGTAATTATATACGTGAACTAGTCGCGCAGTTTTGACATATCGCTCTCAAATTTCACATACGTCCTTTTTCCCCAAAAAAGCTGCTCATTTGTCGGAACGATCAAAATCGACGAGATATCTTTACAAAATTTGATATGGATTATTACTCAAGGTAACGGTGCAATCTCCGAAGAGATTGTTCAGATCGGACTACCATAGTATATAGCTGTCAAATGAACTGATCGATCAAAAACCAGTTCTTGTATGAAATATTTTGTATTTGTGAGGGGTATAATAGCTTCGGTTCAAACAAAATTAATTTATTAATCTATTTACCACAAATAGATATGTATGTGCATGTGTAACGGTAATTCGATTTTGAAAAATACTTTGCATTACGTAAACACCTCCAAGTGTCACTTGTCCACATTCGCTTGGCATCTCAGCAATTCTTAATTGACAACAGGTTCGAATTCTGCTATGACTTGAGCGCTTAGCCGCCGTGCGCCACCAAACACGCGACTTGCCATAGCAAACTCTATGTTTTCCTTATTTTTCCTTTAATTATTCGCCGGAGAGGCAACAAAACAGCTGAACGCCGCTGACAGGCAAATAAATAAAAGTACGAAATATGACTTTGTAATGGAGACACAACAAGAGGCAATATAAAATAAAGTTGTACATGCGTGTGTATGTGTGTGTGGCTGCATGTAAAGTCACTTTGCAGAAGATGCAACAGCGTGGATGCAACGTGAGACGCACAAGAATTGAAATTGAATACAGAAGCTCCCAGGGGCAAACAGCCGCGGCGTTGCAAGTATTGCAAGGGGCACTATATCATATGTGCATATGTATGTGTATGTGTGTGTATAAAAAGTTATAATAAAAGCAAACATATCTGCGCCATCCACTTTGGGGCACTTCGGTGCCGAATATACTTTTGATGTGCTCCCAACTAATTGAAGACATGCAACAGCCACACACACACACACATGCGGGTATATGTGAGCTCCTCGCCACTGTCACTTCAAATGCATTTGGCGATTGTTTTACGTTTCACAAAAAAAAAGAAAAAAAAACTTTTAATGGCTCCGAAATTGATATCCATAAATTACACAGCAACGATGCTGCGACAATTTTCCCAAACGGCCGAGCGGGGTATGGGATGCGGGGTGTCGTAAATGAGCGGGCAATTGGGTGGGGACAGCTGAAGCATGCCGACAGCTTGGAGAATGCAGTGGAATGCCGAGCTGACTGCTGGGCGGCCGAGTGTTGACAGCGCAACGTCATGTGTCAATGCAACTCATATCAATATGTATGTATGTATGCATGCACATGTGTGTGTGTGTGACAGCAGACAAAAGGCGTGAATTAAGAACGCATTTGGTAATTAATGCCGACATTTTGGGTGGGCATCTCAAATGTAGATACATATATACATACATACATACAAATAAACATACATGTACATATCTACATACACATATTAGCATAAATTCGTCTTTAATTTAGTTCGTCTATTAATACTTAAACATTCAAAAATTTTAATAAAATTTTATTTTTAAATATTTATTTTTCCTTTTTGGTTCTTTACACGGTTTTCTCAATGAATTTTATCTTTTAATTTCATACAAATTCCCTTTTGCTTTGCAAATGAATCCTCAGCCTCATTAGACTTGAATACTTAAGCTACATAAGCCCATTTAGTCTGCTCATAAACATTCTCGTCGCCTTACTCCCTTCATATGTCGAATGCTTTGACTCGTCTTTTATAATTCACCTCATAGAGGTCAGGAGCGTATTTAGTTGAATCGGTGCCTTATCAAAAATAACTTTACGAGTAGCATCTGGAGGCGCTTTTTTTACTCGATATATGTTAACCTCACATTTTTACGGCCGGAAAGGAAATGGTTAACACTTTAAGACTCAAAAAATATGAGTAAATGATACCTACTCCAGAATTTCTCGCTCATTTGTATAATTGAAGACAATGGTGACCAAAAAAAGTTAAGATGATATTCTTAGATCTTTCTTAGCTCCTTATCCCAGATATGTCAGCATCTACAACTAGGAAAACGCGAACCCTTCAGGGTGCTTAGTGGATCACGGACGATTGACCTTGTAAACTTGCGACTGTGAAAAAACTCGTAGTTGACCTTCGCGTGGTCTAACTGACTATTGAAAAACTGCAAGAAGTCCAATACCGCTACGGTCAGGTATCTGCATAATACTTTTCAGGAAGTAGCTCGATACAATTGAAAAAAAGCTAGGCGCTTCTGATTTAACTCCATCAGAAGATCAGTGAGCTCAAAGCTAGTTTCTATGGCTTACTATTGGAGTGAATATTCAACTCTCTGAAGGAGATTTACTGAAATTTTTTTCGAGCGACCTTTTAATATTCATATTAATATTTCATATATTTTTTTTTCATTTATTAAATTTTGATCTGAAATTTTCAGGAACTTATTATTTTTTGGTCTATAAAATTATACTGTAACGAGAAAAAAAAATTTGATTAAAAAAAAAATTCGGTTTTTGGTGATTTTTCAAATCTTAAAAATTTTTTTTCGAGCTGTCCTTTGGACAAGGCTCTTAAACATGATAAACTATTATATTTTCACACGAGACTTAAAAAAAAATTATTCGAATTTTTTGCGCCACCCTAATGTGTATACATATTTTTCTTAAGGTGTGAGGCAGGAAAGTTTTTAACTTATTTGAAACAGCTCCGTTTCCAAGCCCTCACCATGTCGTCTTTGGACTCAGCTATGAAAACTGTTAATCGAAACAATTTCAAAATGCCGCAATTAATGCTCTGGAGTTATTATTACGGGACCTGAGCCTTTGCGCTTCTTGATCTTGTGATCATGGTGAATCTAATCTTCAAAAACTATGCGGGCTATGGTATAGTGGTTTAGAGAATCGTTCATAGTAAAATCTAAATTTAAAGAAAAATTTTAATATGGAACCCTTACATACACTTTAATTTTTCACGAAACCTATACGATATAATTAAGTAAAGCCGGCCCTGTATTCCTCAACTCCGTATGTGGTATATTATGCGCATGCCTTAAACAAATATCTAGAAAGTATTCTTCTCACCTCTGCCAATTGCCAGTTGTACACGTGGAAGGTCATAAATCGATTGGCTCTATCGAAACTGAAAGCAGCGAGTAAGTGAAACGGTGAGCAAAAGTAGAAGAACAAGAAGTAGGCAGGCAAGCAAATACACCCAGCGCTTCAGAAAGTGACGGAGGGCATGCCAATGGGGTTTGTT